CACCCCTTAGGGTGTCCTGCAAGACTTACTTTATTGAAGCTTACAAATCATTCCATGCTCTGTAATCCCTCACTTGATAACATCAGATATATGGCAGAGGCCTGGTCGGAGGCCTGGTCGCAAAACAGGCCAAAGGTGAACCTTCAGAGAGGCCTTCAGAGTTATGACCCTGTTATTGTGTCCGGAGATGATACGGCTTAGGACAACAGGTTCTCTGGCTCCATGTGTTGTGACTATGGATGAGCATGTGTTTGGGTAACTATAAAGATAGAGGGCTGGAGGACACTCGCCAGTTCTCACTTTGACTGTTCATGCGGTTTGTACTGTTTGTGAGACTCCATTCATGAATGCTTATTAAAACTCAAGAAAGACAGCCGACGTGTGAAGACTTTTCTTTGTCAATTGTTTATTGAATAGTAATTTTGCCACCACAGTCTCGTAATTTTGTCACTCACAGCCGTGACAAACGTCAAGGAGAATACTATTTTTTTATGGAGAGTTTCTGATGCAAACAGCTATAAGGTATTGGTTTTTATGTTTTTTACATCGGTGCTTTGCCTCACAAGACACTCGTTTATATGCATGCCAATTCTCCGCTGACACACTGAGGGTGCTCCGCATTGTCTCCGTGTCATTGCTGCGACTCACTGGTGGCTCCCTATGGACATTTTGGGAATATTTCTTCCCATCTACTTTCCAGGTGACGGAGAAATCATTAAGAGAAGGGCCAACCAGCAGACACGTGATAGTCACCTGTCCCTTGTACTGATGCTCCTGTGATGGCGGTCCCTGAACACATACGCCAACCACCTGAGATGATGCTGGAGTTACTGAAAAACATTGTGACATTTAAGATGGAGAAAATGCAACACCTGTCAAGTAATGATGATGAGAAAAAATGTCTTAAAAGCTTAATGGATGACTCAGAAACAGTGTGAATGTAGATTATTTATTCTACACTTAATGCAAAATTATGATTATGGATTATGCTTTTATTTTACCTGAGCAGAGGCTGATGTTCTTTCTGATGTTTTTGCCCAGGGACTTGTCTGATACTTTACAAGTGAAGACCTTCCCTGTGCTCCACTCTTTGTGAGTGATTTGAAGTTGACTGGTCACTGTCACACGCCCATCTGCACCCATGCTGATGTCATTAGTTGATGGAGCTCTTTGCTGAGACTCAGAAGACCATTGAATTTGAGGGTTGAAGCCCCGTCCAGAGCATACGAGTGTCTGTGATCCTGACTCTTCACTGGGGGCCAGAAGAAGTTTCATTGACGGGTCCGCTAAATTAGGAAGGAATCAGTCTATCAGTGAAATAGTCTCTTAGAGATTATTTGACTGTGAAATGGGAAATGAACAGTCATGAAGGGAATGAAGAGTAACACTCTTACCAAAAATATTTCCAATGGAGTTTGATGTAAAATCCGCAGAGAAGCCTTGGTACACTTTGCAGGTGAAACTTTTGTCTTTCTTCAAGTGCTCTGGCGGGACAGGGAAGCTTCTACTGATTGAATGCAGGCCTGGGGCTTCAGGAAGATCAACATACAGTTTTTCAGAGATGTCAGAGGTGCCAGCTTGAAAAGTGATGTACAGGTCACGTGATGAGAGTCCTGTGACGTCACACTCCAGCACAGCACTGTTCCCCTTCAGCAATTCATTAAGAGATCTCCTGATCGTGACCACAGGAGTTGTGACTGCAGGCCCTGGATGATACAGACAGAAGGAATGCAGAATTTATTCTTCTGGGTGATTTGCTGTGACAAGATGTCTGATTTTCATGTTGTGTAGTCATCTTACCTGCAACATTCACAGTCTTCTCAGTGGGTGAGAAGCACTGATGTTCAGCTTTACATGTTATTAACTTTATTTTTTTCCACTCAGTTGAAGAAACCGTCACAGTACTGAATATATATGTTGAGTTTTTGTCCTGCGTCACTTGTTCACGTGGTGCATCTCCCCCATTTATCCGCCAGGTCAACTTGGCGTCAAAATCAGAGCGCGCCAAACATGTTGCTTCCACGTTGGATCCTCCTGCCATCATTACGGTCTTGAAGCTGGGAATCTCCACATGGATGGAGGGAGGGGCTCTTGAATAAGCTGACAGGGAGCAAGGAAAAAGAATCATGAAGCAATACCAGAATACTGAGCGAACTATGTATATGTAAAAGATGCTTGATCAAATTCAGACTACACTGACTTCAAAGTCTGTCAAAAACAATTTTCAGGTCAGTCACAATGTTGTCAGTAGACAGCTGGGGTTGTGACTCTTCACTTAGTTGTACCTGAGCAGAGGCTGATGTCCTTTCTGATGTTTTTGCCCAGGGACTTGTCTGATACTTGACAAGTGAAGACCTTCCCTGTGCTCCACTCTTTGTGAGTGATTTGAAGTTGACTGGTCACTGTCACACGCCCATCTGCACCCATGCTGATGTCATTAGTTGATGGAGCTCTTTGCTGAGACTCAGAAGACCATTGAATTTGAGGGTTGAAGCCCTGTCCAGAGCATACGAGTGTCTGTGATCCTGACTCTTCACTGGGGGCCAGAAGAAGTTTCATTGACGGGTCCGCTAAATTAGGAAGGAATCAGTCTATCAGTGAAATAGTCTCTTAGAGATTATTTGACTGTGAAATGGGAAATGAACAGTCATGAAGGGAATGAAGAGTAACACTCTTACCAAAAATATTTCCAATGGAGTTTGATGTAAAATCCGCAGAGAAGCCTTGGTACACTTTGCAGGTGAAACTTTTGTCTTTCTTCAAGTGCTCTGGCGGGACAGGGAAGCTTCTACTGATTGAATGCAGGCCTGGGGCTTCAGGAAGATCAACATACAGTTTTTCAGAGATGTCAGAGGTGCCAGCTTGAAAAGTGATGTACAGGTCACGTGATGAGAGTCCTGTGACGTCACACTCCAGCACAGCACTGTTCCCCTTCAGCAATTCATTAAGAGATCTCCTGATCGTGACCACAGGAGTTGTGACTGCAGGCCCTGGATGATACAGACAGAAGGAATGCAGAATTTATTCTTCTGGGTGATTTGCTGTGACAAGACGTCTGATTTTCATGTTGTGTAGTCATCTTACCTGCAACATTCACAGTCTTCTCAGTGGGTGAGAAGCACTGATGTTCAGCTTTACATGTTATTAACTTTATTTTTTTCCACTCAGTTGAAGAAACCGTCACAGTACTGAATATATATGTTGAGTTTTTGTCCTGCGTCACTTGTTCACGTGGTGCATCTCCCCCATTTATCCGCCAGGTCAACTTGGCGTCAAAATCAGAGCGCGCCAAACATGTTGCTTCCACGTTGGATCCTCCTGCCATCATTACGGTCTTGAAGCTGGGAATCTCCACATGGATGGAGGGAGGGGCTCTTGAATAAGCTGACAGGGAGCAAGGAAAAAGAATCATGAAGCAATACCAGAATACTGAGCGAACTATGTATATGTAAAAGATGCTTGATCAAATTCAGACTACACTGACTTCAAAGTCTGTCAAAAACAATTTTCAGGTCAGTCACAATGTTGTCAGTAGACAGCTGGGGTTGTGACTCTTCACTTAGTTGTACCTGAGCAGAGGCTGATGTCCTTTCTGATGTTTTTGCCCAGGGACTTGTCTGATACTTGACAAGTGAAGACCTTCCCTGTGCTCCACTCTTTGTGAGTGATTTGAAGTTGACTGGTCACTGTCACACGCCCATCTGCACCCATGCTGATGTCATTAGTTGATGGAGCTCTTTGCTGAGACTCAGAAGACCATTGAATTTGAGGGTTGAAGCCCTGTCCAGAGCATACGAGTGTCTGTGATCCTGACTCTTCACTGGGGGCCAGAAGAAGTTTCATTGATGGGTCCGCTAAATTAGGAAGGAATCAGTCTATCAGTGAAATAGTCTCTTAGAGATTATTTGACTGTGAAATGGGAAATGAACAGTCATGAAGGGAATGAAGAGTAACACTCTCACCAAAAATATTTCCAATGGAGTTTGATATAAAATCCACAGAGAAGCCTTGGTACACTTTGCAGGTGAAACTTTTGTCTTTCTTCAAGTGCTCTGGCGGGACAGGGAAGCTTCTACTGATTGAATGCAGGCCTGGGGCTTCAGGAAGATCAACATACAGTTCTTTAGACATGACAGCATCATCAACATGACATACAGGTCACGTGATGAGAGTTGCATGACATCACACTCCAGCACGGCACTGTTCCCCTTCAGCAATTCCACAGAGATCTCCTGATCGTGACCACAGGAGTTGCAACTGCAGGCCCTGGATGATAAGAAAGAAAGAAAGAAAGAAAACAGTGCGAAATTCATTCTTCTGGGTAATTTGCTGTAACAAGACGTCTGATTTTCATGTTGTGTTGTCATCTTATCTGTAACATTCACAGTCTTCTCAGTGGGTGAGAAGCACTGATGTTCAGCTTTACATGTTATTAAATTAATTTTTTCCACTCAGTTGAAGAAACCGTCACAATACTGAATATGTAAGTTGAGTTTTTGTCCTGCGTCACTTGGACATGTGTTGCATCTTCCCCATTTATCCGCCAGGTCAACAGAGCGGACCAAACATGTTGCTTTCACAGTGGATCCTGTTGCCATCATTACGGTCTTGAAGCTGGGAATCTCCACATGGATGGAGGGAGGGGCGCTTTCATGGACTACAGGAAAAAAGTGTTTGTCCAAACATACTCATCTTGTTAAAACTTGTCAATGTATTTCTCCATTCAGTTTATCATAAAACATTGATGATGCTTCAGAAAAATTTATACTGTGCTGTGAGACAGTTGTAAATACTTACTTTGACAAATGCTTATTGTTTTTTTATATTCCCGATCTTTGTGAGTTGACTTGCATGTAAAATTTGAGCCTCGTTCCCACTCTGTTGTTTTTGGCTCAATCTCACTGGTTAGACTGAAGGTTTTCCCCGTTCCGTCCGCACTCTGCAGCTTCGTTGGGCTTTTGGCAGGTTTTAGAGGTTGGTTGTCCCGCTTCCACTCCACACTCAGTTTGTCTGGAAAGTAGCCACTTAGGGTGCAGACAAGTCTGACTGATGAGGCCCCGACAGGGACATTGTCCCAGACAGGGTGTAATGTGATGTTTGGAGGCACAACCCGCTCTTCTGAGATAGAGAAGAGATCATTTCATTACTTGACTCATTGTAAACATTGGATGTAGACATTTGTTAAATAAGAGCTGATTGCAGTTTGTAGTTATACGTACCTTGAGATTTTGATCAAGTAACCAACTGTGCTGGCTCAATTCTAAGTGTCATATCTTTGTATTAAGGCTAGATGGCAGAGTTGTACTTTTACAGTGTCTGGTGTCTTAAAGTCAGGTGGAGACAGGGCTGGAGGTCTGTTGCACAGATGTCACAGCATGACAGGGCAGAGTGAGCAAGGCAAGCAGCAAGCGGAAGCATTGAGTAACACCCAGGTCCCGAAAAAGTACCAAAATACAGAAGTGAAAGAATGCAGAGAGCAACGGTGCATCACAGACACCAGGTGGTGTGGTTGTGCCAGTAAGAGAAACAGAGAGCACATTTAAATATCTCATATCAGTTTACATGTGTGTTCACATAGATTGCTCATGATTTTGCTAAAGGTTTTAGTTCTCCAGTCTATTAATAATAGACTGGAGAGCTAACCAACTGTAAAACCTAAAATTTACATGATTGAGTCGAACATAGGCTGCTGATTTCAGGTGCTGGGGAGATGACCAACACAACAACATGTTACATTATAAAATACTTTAAAATACTTTTTAACGAACTAGAAAAAAAGAATTAGTATTGTTGTGAGATGTATGTGTTAAACCTTTATAGATGAAACTACAGCACTACTGGAGGAGAAAAAAGTTGGAGGAGCAACTTCAGTGGTTATCTTCATTTAAAAATTTATTTTCAAAAAGACACAAAGCTTTTGTAATTAAAATGAAAAAGGACAATTGCGCTTACTTACATGCACGACTATGAGTTTATAAGAACAAATGTGTGGAGAAAAAACTTTTTTTTTTTACAGAAAGTTCATCTTGTTTTATTTAATCTGAAAAGAGAAAAAAACATAAAAGAATATGCATTATATTATTGTAAAATAAATGTTTCAGCATTTGACAAGCAAAGTGTTACAGCTGGCTTCTGTTGTAGTTTGCTACACTTATTTATTAAGTTAATTTAGCTCTAGTAACCTATGAGAAGATTTTGGGATAATATTTAACACACAATAACAGCAACACCTGCAAAATGTAATTCAGTTCAGTATCATAGCCCTGGAATTTTAAGTAACTAGAGAATAATACATATTAAGTAAAATAAATAAATATAAACATTTGATAATAATAAATAAATAAATTAAACTAAATGAACCACAGGTTACCACAGAGTTGATTCAACATCTCTTTAGTAAATTCTTTAAAACTCTTGCTTCATGAAGGTGATTTTTATTTTAAGTTTATGATATTTCAAAGCATTCACTTGCACAGTTGTTGCTGCTTTTGTGTCCACCACCTGAACATGCATGCATCACTAATAGTTGAGCTTTTTCTGCATGCACTTTAAAAATAGTCGTATAAAGTAAAAGAATAATATGTGAAAAGACAGGCCGATCATTTCAGTTGTTGGTCAAAGTGGTAAATAAAGTAACAGCAACAAGATGTAGTCGTAATGCATGATGATATTTACTGTGGTAGTTATGATGTGATGCGTCATGATGATCATTGTAATCCTATTTGTCACTTCTCATGTAAAAGGAGTTCTACCAACCCATCTGTGTTGTTTGAATACATGAAACTGCTTACTCAGGTGTCTTTGCATAACTTTAAGATATAAACTCATTATTACCTTGAAAGCAGTGGTTCCGATGGTGAACAGCAGAGTGATAAGGAAGAGGAGGATGAAGGTGATGGCTGTGGTTACCATGTTGTCTTTATCTGTCTCTGTGTCGCTGTTGTTTTGGTAGAACTCCACATTCCATAATTCTAGTGTATAGCAATCATTCAGTTAATACTTGGAACAAACCCAGCTTTGCACATTAGCTCATGAGACAATGACTTAACTCTATTAATTTCCTGTAGTAGGGTAATACGTTTTATAACCTCACAGGTTGGAGTGGATCTAATTAGTGAATGAGTCAGTCAGTCAGTCTAAGTATAAAATAGAAAACCACAAAGGAGAAGAACAGTCCTGCTGACGTATGCCTCGTTAATCAGTTACTACATTATTATTGTTGTACAGCGAGGCCTGATAAGTTTGCACGTCCCTCTAAAAATGTTGATTATGTTGATCAAAGTTGTCCTACAATGATCCTGAATTGCTTTTGAAAGACCCCACCATTGGTGTGGCATGCATGACTTGGCTTGTGAATCAGTATCTTTATCATTTGACTAAGAGACCACACAGCCCGAGTGAGACTTTAGAGAATCATCTGTCTGTCGTTGGGGGTGCAAGACCCAATAGAGGAAACACACATACACACAGACGAGTCACACAAACAGTGTTAATGCTCTGTCTACAAATAACAATGAACAAGTAGGATTTCTATAATGAAATTGATGCCTGAAGTTAGTGGGGTAGTGGTGGTGTGATTTTAGTGAATGCAATATGATGTTGTTAGTACATAGTGACAGCTACACCTAATTTGTGTTGCATTAGGATAGCACTGAGACACTACACACAATAAACATGTAGCTTGATTAAATAAAGACGTGAACAGCATGCGACATACATCAACAGAGTTGCAAAGTGCTTTTTTTTATTTTGATTTTGAATCTGCATTAAAAAGACAAACACAGTGTCATATCACAAGCAACAAACATTAAACAACAAACAGCAGAAGACACAGCGACACAGAATAACATCTACTGGGCCTTGCACGTTTCAGGGATGTTCATGTTGAGGTTGACCATGTTGGTTTTTTCAAATGTTCTGTGCCCGATGGACCTGACAATAGCTCTAGTTGTGTTGACCACAGATTCATGGTGAACTGCACAGCTGAACACAGTGTCATCATTTTTCCACTGCTGGAGGGTGAGGGTTAACTGGCCATAGGCAGAATATGATCCATCATTTTCTACAGGCGTTGTGGTATTGAACTTGTATTTTGAGTCTGCTTCCTCGTCATCGACAAGCCAAGACACATAAACTTCCCGAGGGAAGAAGTCTTTCACATAGCAAGTCAGGGTCACGGTTTTTGTTTTAGTATGTTCTAGTGGAGGTAGCATAAAAACTGAAGGACGCTGAGGTGGTCCTCCTGCAACATGAGAGAACAATTAGGGTTCCTGCCACAGATAAAAGTTCCCACAGTACTGTACAAAATCTCTGCTACAAAATACACTTAACTTACACTCTTTAACATGTTTGATGACATGACAAGAGGAATTAAACACAGGCTTTAAGTGCACAGTTGCTGATTATTTTTCTTACCGATCGTCTTTATGTAGATTTCCTTATGTGGCTCTATCCAGTCTTCATGTTCAACAATGCAGATGAACTTTGCCCCCTGTCTCCATTCGTCAAATGTGATGGGAAGTGAAGCGTTGAATACACCTTTTTGTCCTGCAGGGGGCTTCACTGGAACAGCACCAGGTATGTCTTTTCCGTCATGGGTCTCCCAGAAAATCTTTTGGACAGATGGTTTCTTTATCTTGACTTGACATTTTATATCTCCCTTTCCGTTCCAAACAAAGTCCTCCATTGTTGGTTCTATGATCGTTATGTCCACATCTGCTTCCATCCACACATCTGTTAAATGAGGAATTATTAAACAATTATTGAATAAAAATGGCTGCAAAATGACAAGAATTGAAATTACATTTACACACATATTTCAAAGAAAAAGTAGCAATTTACTCACCAGGTCCATTTATACAAACGTCTTTGGTCACAGATGAATTTACATACGTTGGACCTTGTTCACCTTTCCCCATAAACTCACATGTAAACGTATTGGTGTCAGTCCACTCACTTGATGGCACTGTCAGAAAACTTGCTGCACTGTACAGTATTCCATTCTCTGTCTTTTTTTCATCAAAAGGTGTTTTGATGTTGGTTATTCCAGTGGTGATTTTTGCTTCATTTTTCAGCCATTTGAACTCAAAATCTTTTGGTGAAAAATCTTTGGCAAAGCAGGAGAGGGTAGTCTCGGTGTCATCATCAGAGGAGGTCATTACTTTAAGAGTTGGCAACTGATATAAATCCCCTGAAAAACAAACATATACACAAATATATGTACAGTATGCAGAAGCATATCATTTATGTATATATATGCAGAAGCAAAGGTGAACAATGTGCTACAATGCTCATGTAATCTAGATTTACTATAGACTTACAATATAACTGAGTTTATGACTTCACTGAACTACTGCATGTTATGCAACTTGCACACACGTATGCACATAGTGATTCCGCTCCTCTAATTGACATAATTTGTGGCTTGTTACTAAATTGTGCAGAAAGAGTCAAAAAGAAAAGATTTTCATGGTAAGAAACAGCAGAGCTTTAATGCTTGCCTCTGCATCTACATTGACTGCTTCGCAAGCGAACAGAGAGTGAATGTTAGTCATCAACATGCAGTGAAAGTGGAGGCAGACGTTAGGAGGAACCCATTCTCGGAACTCATCGGCTGTATTCGGTGTCTGACTTCTGGCAGATGAATGTAGAGTCTGTATATAGAGACTAGGAGGAGCCAGGATTAAGCAGATAGATGGAAAGAAGCAGCACACATAGCAATAATCTATTCTCGGACAGGTGCAGAAGACATACAATAAATTAGCCAGGAATAAAATCGACTGAGTCAGCAGCTGAGCTTCAGCCTTCTCATTCCACCTCACTGTTTGGTTTGCTTACAGATTCTAACATTAAAAACATTTAAGGAGATTTCACACAAATTTAATTTGATAACAGTTGTATTTTAGTTTTATGCTCTTCTCTGTGTTGATGTTCCTTTTAAATGATATGTTGAAGCAATTAAAAAAAAAATCCTGTCACAATTTTGAACATAAGCAGCTCGGGCTAAATTGGTAAAGTCTGCCTCTGATAACACGTCTCAGGAAAACCTACAAAATCAAGTAAAAGCAATGAACTTTTTCATCCTACATCAATAACATTTATGAATGCATTATTGATAATAACTAAATGATTATGATGATGATTATTATTATTGTATTGTCCCTGTCCTTTTTTGTCTACCTTTAGGTTTTTGCTGAAAGCATTTAAAGCTGCATTTATAGCACAGGTTGTGCCGTACAAATGTGATTATTGTTAAATTATTATGACAACAAAAGGGTTTTTAACTTCTAAATTAACTTTGTTATTTGACATACAGTAGATCATCAAATTATCTTGAAAATAACTTAATATTTTTATCCTTATCATGAGTAGCCTTGTAGCACTTTGTTTACTGCATTGTAAAATGTCAAACTTTCTTTGACTGAAGATATTCTGTTTAATACTGTAATCTACCTTAATTTAGTATGACATTGTCAATTAGTTATTACAAAATTGTATCATTAAGAAACTGGATTAAAAACCCTTTAAATTGTTGCACAGTTATAAAATATGTCAACAGTTACAACATGTAAAACTACTAGATTTCAAATCAACAATTAAAAAAGACATTTTTAAACTTACCACAGGGCGTTCTTGGGCTGATAATAACATGTTGATTTCCCGCTGTATGTGTCACATCACATCTGAAGGATTTCATGGCGTCCCAGTCCTGTTTGCTCACTTTGACTTGACTTATTCCGGTATAAAGGTTGTCTTTCAGTACTGGAGGGTACTGAATGAAGTCTGTCAAGGCAGCCCCATTTACTATGCTCCATGAGTAGGTCAGTGAGGAGGGTGTGAAGCCGGTGGCAAGGCAACCAAGAGTGACCGTGTTTCCAGTCCCAGAACCACATTGCATCAGAGGAAACACAGTTGGTGCATTTGGAGTGGCTGAGAAAGTAAAAACATACGTGTAATTAAACTACCAAAATTAAAAACAACATCACAGACTTTTTTTTTAACCAAGCATGAGTTAAAACTGAGAAGACAACTGGGTAGATCAGCAGTGTAAAAAAGCACATTGAAGGTGATAACTTTTATCATTTGTCCAATAATAGTATGAGTCATTTTTGTTAGTGAACATACAAATCAATAAATAATTTTAAATACACAACTTTGACAGTAATCACAAGTCATTTTTTAAATTGAAGTGATGACACTATAAAGTCGGTTACCATCCATTAAATGAGTTGGCATCTTATTGTTGCAAAAATTACTACTTTATGCCAAATTCAGCAGTTGTGTACGAGATTAAAGAGAATTCTTACCTGATGAAACAGTTACCATTGTACCCTTTCCCCAGTAGTCAAAAGCAGCGTAGTAGCACAGTGCTGAATCTACTTATCTGTTAGTATCAAAAGGCTACACCTAATGGCCCGCTCAAAAAGTCTGCCTTGATATTTAATTGATCCCACTAACTTATACAATACACTTAAATAACCCAGAATACACTAGCCATAAAATACACCAGTGTGTCCTACTGAGAATATTGCTGTTTGACTTTACACAGTACATACTGTATTAAAATGTTTTACTTTTGACGTGAGAATTGACACGTTTAGAAATTAATTTAAACATGAAATTTTAAAAAATGAAAAATATCCTGCTGTAGGTTTTAAACAGTACAAATCTTACCTGATGACACTGTTACCATGGTGCCTTTTCCCCAGTTGTCGAAAGCCCAGTTGTCACAGTTAAGAGAGCCAATTCACACTTCTCACAAAAACTCATTACCATAATATCCCATTACTTCATGTCATACAATTTGGTATCGGCACCAGATAAATCAAAATAAAATATGTCCCTGTCAATAGACCTAAGTTCCAACTGAACTTAATAGTTTGAAGCTTTTCACAAATTCATCGTCAGGCTACAGAACACCGTTGGCCAACAGTTGACGAGATATATAGTATCCCAGAAAGGAATGAACTGCAAGGTGTCACAACTTTATCTCTCAAAAAATACCAATTCTGTGTTTAAATCAAAACGTACACAACAGAGAAAGAAAAATAAAAGTGGCTTACCAGATGTGACTGTGACAGTCACATCTTTCCCCCAGTAGTCAAAAGCATCGTCACAGTGTCATATGTCAATACATCCAACATACAAAAACAAGCACCTTAAAGATGCCGTTGACGCCACCGAGGTCTAAATATGTTCTATTAAAAAGTATAAATACTACACTTTCAGTATGAAGACAAATAAAGTTATTTTTTACCTGATGTGACGGTCACGGTTGTTCCTTTTCCCCAGTAGTCAAAGTAGTAGTCACAGTGATAGATTTCAATTGCGCTTTAGTACAAAAATATCTTGCAGCGTCTAACATCTAATAAATGAATGTACTTGTTCAGTAAACCACTGATTATGCCTAACATTTAGCCTGAG